AGAAACATAGCGCAGTTTGCCGTTCAGGTACAGCAAGCTGCCGAGACGTCTCAGGCTTGTTTGCTTTTACCTTTCCATTAAGTTCCCTCTACTGGAACTGCTGTCTGCCTCTGGGTGTTCAAGACTACAGGCATTTAGAGGTGATTAGTGGAGTACTGTGTGATCTATACCAAGCTGAGACCAATTTCTTGGGCTGAACTACAGTATGAATAATGAAGAGCTAACACAGTGGGCCAGATTTATATAGGCTTTACAACCCTGTTAACTTCATCGTCTTTAACAAGCTGACTTTATATGGACAGACACCTGGGTATACCACCTAACTCCTTCCTCTGCCTTTTCGCCTTGGGAGGGTGTGCTGTCTTCCCTTCATTTTCACACCACGTGCAGACAGCCCGTACACACGGCTTCGTGATGGCACAGCTTTGCTACAGTCTGGTGTGCAGCATAGGTTCTAGTTTCAGTGATGAACTGGCCCAACAGAATGCAAGCTGTACAGCTACTGCTTTGCAGCATTTGAAACAGTAATTGCAAGCGTGTGATTGTAAGAGAAACACTTTAATTCAGCTCTAAAGGAGTAGTGAATTCACTTTCGCCATGCCTGAAATGGGACTTACAACAACCCATTAAACAATCCCACAAACTTACATTATGTTTTGTTGCCATTTCTCTTCCCTGCTCTCTGGTGATTTTCCGTAAATGCATTAGATCAACTTTGTTTGCCACCAAAATCATTGGGAAGGACTCTCTAGAAAAAAACAAAACAACAAACAATTACTAGCAGACTACAATAAAAAAATGCTCAGTGTAAGCTTCACTTTCTAACACTGCCATCATCTAACATTTTCAGCTCCAGAGATACCACGTACATATAAAGAGATATAAAGAAAGGTGAAATAATCACACGGCAGCCCGAACGCTGTGCTACAGATGCATGTTCGTGTGTTATCTGTGTGAGAAATTTACCTTGACAACTTGCGTGCATGCACACATTCACCTCTATCTGCAGGCACTTCAGGGACTTTATAGAGTTGCCATTTTTTCCACAGTCTAATAACTAAGGTCTAAGGTTCAACTGGATGAAAAACTACAGAATTAATCTGTACCTGTAAAAGGGAATTAACTTAGGCTCGGAGACAGATTTTTGGGCAGGAAAATGGGACTCTCTTACAACAGTTAAGGCTTTTGGTTAACCGCACATCTTGGCAGCTGCTAGTCATTGCCAGGTTAAGGGGTATCTTGGAGGGCCTCCTTGGGACAGCCCTTAGGGAAGCTCTGGTGAAGGAAAGGAATCGTGCTCAGCTCCTGACCACAGGAGCAGGGGAAGAAAAGACAGTCTCTGGGCACTGGCACTTTGGGGTAGGTTAAACAGGGGCAAAAAAGGTAGGATCCCCATCAGTTGTTACCCAACACAAACTGCGGGACTGGCGGTGGTCGCTGGAGGGAACTGCAGAGTCTTGCTGAGTTTCCAAACGCTATTATCTACCGTCTTCTGCTTCTAATAATAAAAAAAAAACCTGATGACCGACTGCCTTTTTGTGCCAAAAACAACTAGCTCTGTAATAATGCTCAATATTTTTGTATTAGGTATGTAAGTGATTGCCTTCAGTCAGTGCCTGAAAAGCGATCCATCTATCCACAGCACACAATGTTTAAGGCTTTCCTGATGAGGTGTGTGAGCCAGGTCCTCAGCTGATACAAATCCCGTTTACTAACTGCTAATAGTGATGGGGTCTCTTGCGATAATTGAGAGTAATTGCAATATTATTTTCTTATATTTAACTTTAAACCCTCCTAAAATGATTCCAGTGTCCTCTGCTGTAACAGAGCTTATTTTAAGGGTGAAAGGAGCAGCTGACCATACTCATTTCCATGTAAAACACGTTGCTGAGTAAGTCCAAATTTTCAGACAAAGTTTCTGTGTTATTTTTCATCGAGACAGATAGGGGCTTCATCTTCTCTCTGGCATGTTGCCCCATTGCTCTGTATTGCAGGAATATACTGTATTGCACTCTACGTTTGAGTCTCACAGTGACTTGTTCTGATAATTTGGATTTAATTTTAATACCTAAGCATTGATATATCCTGACTCTGATTATTCCGGAGCAAAACACTTGCTTGTCAGAATTCCTTGACGTCTTGCGGCTTGTGCACATTGCTACATTTAGACAGGAATCACATTCAGAGAGTAGGTCGTTTGCCTTGTTTACATCAGACATAAAACTCTGGGGGCACTTTGTTCCCTGTCGTGAGCTGTACGACTGCTAGTTGGAGAAAGCTACTACGGTTCGAAGTGTTGCTGTAATTCAGGATACAGAAAGAAAAGGGACAAAGGCTTTGAGCAACTCTGCTAAAGCAGCAAACTGCAACTCGTTTAGATGTGAAGCTGCCAAAGCTGCCTGCTACTTTTAAAACCTTGGCTACGCTCCGTTCCCAGCTAAGTCTGACAAGACGGTTTCTTGATTCACGCTGTTACTATTGCTGTGATTTGCTAAACAATCTCAGGTTTTAGACGAAGCGTTAAACACCTCGCTTTACGCGCTTCAGCCGCGCCACGCTGGGAAACAAAAACAATTTCACCAGCCTGTTTCACTTCCTGGTTCTCACATACTAGCTGTTATGTTTTTACGGGTACGAGGAGGGGTAAAAGTTTCAGTCCGAGACAAAACAATGAATAACACATCTTATTTTCATGAAGTTAGATAAAAACAACATCTGTTCGTGGCAGGTTACAGGAAACGCTGTCCTGTCGTCTTTAACTTTCAAAGCCTGATTTAACCGTGGCCCAAGCTAAGCTGTCAGCGAAGAGAGAATACCGTCGCTGGCTGGGAGGCAGTCAGAGTGACTGACGTTTTTGTTCATTTAGATCAAATCAGAGGGTGGGTTTTCCTTTACTTTTCACCCTTGTGGGCTCCGCTTTGGATGCTTTACTGGAAGAGCTGTCGGCTGTGAACCTCACATGATACGAGTCCACCCTTCCTGTAGGGAAGTTATTCAGAACCGTGAAAGGAAGCCAGCAACAAGGACTGAACCCTCTGGTGGCTTTTCTTGATGACTTCCATAATTAAAAGCCATTATGAACGGAAAAACTAAGTGTTTTAAAGCTGCAGATATATAAGGGCTTAATTCACACTCCACCCAGTCAGGCTAGATTCATCTCTTGAACTGGGATGGGAAGAGGGAGTTATCAACCAGATAAAACCCTTGAGTATCCTTTTCAGCCTGCCATGATTTAACTTCCAGCACTACCTTCTCCCACGTGATCCCCAAGGAGAGGAGCAGGCTACACGTCTTGCTTTTTCCCCAGTCATGCAGAGATGAACGTTACAGCTTATTCATTCACTGAAAACGGATGCTAAACAGCACAGTGAGTTAACTACACTACGCTCCAATTAAGAAATACAATTTCTCCTCTGTTGGCCTTTGACTGACAGGAGCTGTTTTCCCCCTTGAAGAAGTTTGCTTGCAGCCCCATATCATGTAAGGCCTTTTAAGGTTTGTTTGGCATATACTGAAGCCAGGGAAACCGAGGGTGCTGCCAGGACACACAGAAAGATCGGGCCTGAGTAAACACTTGCTGACCCTCTATGGGAGTTTCCTAAGTGGCTGTGTTGTGCCCAGAGCATCACTCTTCCTTACTCAGAGCCAAACTGGTCCCCTTCAAAGGTGTGTTATCTTCCTTTTTCACATGACTGTTACAAACACTCTGGCTGGAATTTTTCCCTTCCAATACCGTTTTCACTTCATCAAAAGGCTCTACTGAACTCATCCATACAGAAAGCTCTAAGCTTATCAGAGAAGGTAAAATATTTCTTATTCCTTGTATGTAGGTCTGAAAACCAGAGCATGGAGCATGCAAGAGTTTGTCCCAGGACACTCAGCAGGCTGAAGGCAGAGCAAGACACGGAAACCCCCCCGATGCTGCACTGCTCCCAGAGTTGCGGGAATGGGGGGTGAGGGAGCACCGTTGTCTGTGGCACCCACCTGTCTTTGACTCTGAGGATCAGCTGGTGGAACCGGTCCACGTGTTCGAAGCTGGCCTTGTCTGTGACGGAGTAGACGATAAGGAAACCATCTCCCGTCCTCATGTACTGCTCCCGCATTGCGCTAAACTCCTCTTGGCCTGCAGTATCTAGAACTAGGACAGAAAAAATGAATGTTTTTAGTCACTGTAAGAAACTGCAGCTGCTGTCACTGCTCTGTGTCCTACATCACCTTTCTGCCTCCACTTGGCTTGGTCCTATTGAAGGCTGCAAGATTTGAGGAAAGCAAATTAGACAGACAAGCTGATTTCTCATTACAAAGTGACAAGTGCCTCCTGATCCCCATGCATCACTGCGTCATCTACGCTAGGAATTAGCAGAAAGGAAGAGGACCACGTGGATTTTACTTTCATTCAAAGTACCAAAAACCGACCACTGAACTTGGGGAGGGAGTTGTTCCTCTGGCAAGATATGGAATATCTTGGAGTCCTTGGTCTTGTCCTCTTCCGGCTCTCTCTGATCCCTGCATGGAAAAACCCAAGACTGGAAGAGTAAATGCCAGTTTAAATAAAAGGGACAATCTATAAACTGTGTGGTGCAGTACAGCTAGGAGATAACCTGGAGTAATACGGACATGTATTTTCCCTTTCTTAATGCCTGGATATTATTTCCACACAATTCTGTGCTTCCAGAGCAAGATGGTAGAGCCTTGAGGGACTCCCCTACACACCTAGTCCCAAGTTTTATGTTTATATTCAAAAGCTAGTTAAAAGAGAAGGAAAAGCTTTAAGTGACTTGTTTATTCGATAGAGCGGACGTGTTTTTGTGCACTGGCTTGCGTTACAGGGCGGCCAGTGGTGATGCCTAGACCTAGAATCAAATTTCCTAAACGCTCCCAGATGGGGTGGCAACCCAGATGGATAGTAACTGTTCCCCAGTGAATTAACCTCTTCTCTAACGTGACCCTAAGCACCACTTCTCCATTCACTGCCTAGCCAGGGTCCCACCAGCTACGGCATGGGTCACATCCAAGAGAAGCTACACCTGCCTTCTGGATAAATATCGCATACAGGTGCACATTTTCGATGCCAGTTCTTGGGCCCCAGCTTAGGGCAACTCCAGAATTTGGCTCACAGAAGGAGGGTGGAAAAGACTACAGGAGTTATCAGCTTAGGCTATTCCAACACAAACAAGGTGTGAACTCGAAATGTATCGGCTGCTCTGAAGTAAATGTCCGTATACATCACTGCATCCTAGAGGCAAATGCAGGATCCTCTGGAAGACCTGGAATGTTTTCACTTCCCAACCTGTTGGGAAGGCCAGGAAAACTGTTTCCACCTCTGCTGTAACAACCATATCGTAGCATCTGCTGCCCACAAGCATCAGGGAAAGCCCAGGGAACTGGTGGATTGAGACCGTGCGGCAGGCGAGTACTGCTGACAGAGCAGCACAGTTCCACGCAGGTTTTTCTAGTCTGAGCAGGTCCACAGTAGTAGCAAGATGCTCCCTGTATGGACGGGTACTCAGGCTGCCTTGATTTCCAGATGAGGCCAGGATAAAGCCCACTTTGCTGCTGGTGTTGCTTGCTGAATCAGCACACATGGCTGACCATGCTGACATGCCAAAAATACCGTACCCAACAGTACGCCCCATGACCCAACCCACGCTCTAGTTCTGCTGTCTAGAGGAAAGACAGCTACGCTGGAGGACTTGGAGACTGTATTTTGTGATGGCCAACCCTCCAAAACCTTCACTGCATCCATTTGTCTCCCACAGCTGTTTTGTCGTGAAAGGCTGTTTCCAGGATCCTCTGCAATGAAAAGAGCTTCTAGACTTTGGGCTTGCCTGTTGAGTAGCTGAACTTGCTGGAAAGGCAGGGGTGTCATTTTGTAGCCCTTCATGCTGCTCCACTCCTCTAAACCTAGGGAACAAGGCTCTCAGCTCAAGGGCATACCAAGCTATCCTTAAGGACTGTACAAAAAAGAGGAAAAAAAGAAAAAAGAAAAGAAAAAAAAGAAAAGCAACCCAAACACACTGCTTGTGCTGGCGATTTTCTATGCCCTGGGCAGACGAGCTACCCTGGAATAAGGCCAAGACTGTGTGGCTAGGATGGAAGAGGAAATTAATCCTTCCTATCCACCCAACATGTAAAGAGAGGTTGGGTTGCCCTCATCTGACTCTTGCCCCAGCTGGAAGCAACATCAGGGCGCGGCTGGCAGGTCTCCAAGCTGGCACCAGGCTCCCGTCCCTCTCCAACGCCCATGCACAGCCTCTGGTGCTGCTCCTGCTGTCTACGGTCCTGCTGGGGGAATCTGTCCGACTCCCTGTGAAACATCGGAAGGGCACCCAGCTCTCCCATTTCTATTGCACCCATTGACCCAACCCCAGCTCCTGCCCCTCCATAGTTGTCCCCCCTCCCCCACGAGACGGTAGGGCCTGGGCACTGTGGTCTGCAGTTATGAGGGCTCTGGGGGCCGTGTGAACACCAGACTGACAGCACGGGGCTGTGCTCCTGCCTCTCCTGGATGTTTGCCATGGCATTGCACTAAACACAGGCAGAGCTGCTGCATCAGCAGCTGCTATTTAAAGAGAATTCACTTACAGCATTCATAGAAAGGCAAGCAAGCCCAGGCAGCATTCGGCAATGGCACTTTGGAAATAAAAGAAAAAGGCATGCAATGGTGAAGGCTGGTTATTCATTGGAATAGGTTATTCATTCCTGGATAAGTTAGTCACCCCAAAGTTAAGGGTCACGGGGCTGGCCAGAAAAGGTCTGTGCTTTAACTTTCAGCATGCTCTTCTAAAGATGAAAAAACACAATCCTAACAGTTCTGTGCCACGCAAATTGGGAAAAAATTCAGGGAGAGGAGAGAGTGATCTGGATCCTTTGTACGCAGGATGGGACCACATCCTGGAAAGCATCAACTCTGAAAAAGGGTCAGATGCAAGCAGCTTTACTTGAACTCCCAGTGTAATCCTGTGGCATAAAAGCTTCTGTAAGATTCCTGCACGTGGAAATGGGAAAGTAGCAAGCAGAAACGAAGTCTATTTGGCTTCCCAAAGGGGTTAGAAGATTTGGGATTTTAGCCAGTATTCACCTTCTTTCAAAATTCCAGCTTCTACAGATTGTATGCCAGAAGACAGAAAAATCATGAACAGAGAAAAACCTGGTACTTTTTAAAATTAGCAGTTGCCTCTTACTGGCAGTTGCCACACTAGCAACACATAAAAGCCAATACAGAAATAAGCCTGGAACAAAGCACAGCAGGTTTCCCCCTGCCTCATTCTTCCAAGAACTGAAATCAAATTCATAGACTGTGTAATATACAGAAAAGGACTTCCAACAGCAAACTTGGTTAAGTTCCCACAAACTTGACCAAAGAGGAAGTTAGAAGGCACATTAAAGAAAGTGTTTGGGTGAGCAGTGAGGAGAGAGAAGCCAATGGCTATGTCTGATGCAGGAATGAGGGCAATGGAAACTTCATTTTACAGAGCTATCATGCAATCAGTTGGAGAATACACTGCAAGCAATTAGGCTAAGAGCGCCCAGCACTGAAGTCTCTGGCTTCGTGGGTAAGAGGCTGCTGAGCAACAAGACAGTTTCCTTTTCCACTTTTCAGTGGATGTGACCACAACTGTTGTGATGAACTCTACCCTAATTGAATCCTGCCCCATTAGAGCTTTACACCCCATTTTCCTCTGAATCCTGATGGGTTAGGCAAGAGTTTGGCTGCTTACAGAAAGCACTTCCAGGCAGACGCGGCAGCCTTGGAATCGCTGTGGCCCAAAACAGAAGCACTTTGTGCTTCCAGGTACAAATGTTTTTTACGTGGCACTGTCTCTGTAAGTGAGAGCACTCTGAGCACCCGTCCAGGGAACACAGACATGTAAACTTAAGCCGAGGGCAGAGACATATTCACTAGGAAATCTAAAGCACAGCACTACTTTTTCTAGAGTGTCGGGTGGATTGGTAAGTTCAAATTCAAAAACAGCCTTCTCACCCTTAAAAGGGGAGTTCAGATCTGGTTGTCCAGGCAAGTTCCTCTTCTCTTTTCATATGCAGGTGACATTCCTTCCTATGCCCTTAACTTTACACTGGTGGAGAGCTACGTATGCAGATCACCTCAAGAGAGCATCTCTACTGCCCATGGCATCCAAGGAGCCAAAGACACCCAGAAAAATATTGTAGGTTAAACACATTTTGCATCACTCAGCCCTTGGGCTTAACAGCCTGAGTCTGAAGCCAGTGGCTCACTCCAAGAGGGGACTTGCACATTACTGCAGCCAGTCGTGAAAGCGGCTCTTTATGCTGCTCTCCGAGAGCCTTGCCTTTCGGCACCCAGAAACATGGCTGTGCCCCACAGAAGGTCAGGGCCAGGAAGCAGTTGTTTGTGCCCACCTCGATCTCATGCTCTGAAAAACAAGTATGATGGGCATAACTTGAGTTTTGCAAGCAGAGCTGGATGGTAGGCACTTTCTGCTTTCTCAATGACTTCTTAATGTGAAATACAGAAAGAGTCCCTGGAGCAAAGAACAGAACTAGGAATGTGCCACTGTCAGGGGAGCGCTGTCATCAGAGGCTCACCGAGCCAGACTCCTCTTGGCTTTTTTGCTCTCTGAATCTTGCTTTTCTTTCTGCGCAGCAGCTCTGCTTCAAAAGGTGGGGCTGGAAAGAAACTCCATTCCCAGCTATCCTGCAGCTTGGTAGTTAAGGTCAAGTGAAAACTTGACAGGAATTGACAAGTCAGTGCAAACACTTTTAAGCTGAGGAAGGCTATCACCACAGTTTCATCCTCCTGGACCTGTGCCCTGATGAGGAGCTCTGTGGGAGAGGGCAGCCTCCATGTGCTTTGGCTGAGGAACTGGTATTGTAGGTGCCGAGCAGATGGGGTGCAGGGGGCTCCAAGTTATAGTCTATATTCCCTGTACGCTGAATCACCCCCAAGACGTACTGGAGGTCCCTGCACCGTGAGCAAGGAGAGGCAAGTGCTTGGTCACTCTGATGCCGCTGGCTCCTTTGCGGATACGGCCACACTGCCCTTGGCATGTGAGCCCTCCACAGGGAAAAGCATGAGATGGGGAAACACTAGCGCTTTTGTGAGCCCTTGTTCTATGCCCTAACTAAATACACTGATGTTATAACATGGAAAACCCAAGTACTTGAATTCTTGCCCTTTCTTTAGGGAAAAGGAAAAGAGGGGCCTTCAGAAGAGAGACTTCCACATCAATAAACAGAAAAAAGATGCAAGTCCTTAAAGGAGTTCTTTCTCTAACAAAGGGCAAGTATTCAAAGCCTTGTGTTTTCCATGTTGCGACATCAAAATTTTCCTGGCAGGAAAAAATCCCCCACAACCCAAATTAAAAACCCTCTTTCAAGGTTGCAAAATCCAAACAATTAAGAGAGGGAAAACACTGTACGCACAAATAAGAGAATAAAATGCGAATTAAGTTTATACTTTTAATTCTTTCAATGATGCCACCCAAAGTTTAAAGAGAAAAAAAGAAAGCAAGCCGCAAGCCAATCATCTGCCTGTGAGTCTAAAGTGACCTTTGATCTTCCTCTGGCCCTCCTGGCTGAACTGTTCCCAAGCTTCTTGAAGAGAAAAGTAAAAAAGCTGGCAGCCTGTCCTGAGATGACTAGCAGCAGAAACCCTCTGCTGAAAGGGATACATGAAAGACTTAGTGGAAAGGATGAAGAGTGAGAGCACAAGAGGAAGGATTAGCACTTGCCATTATTCCCAGGGTGTGAACAACAGCACTGTGCAGGTCCAGCCCAGTACAAGGACACCCAAGGATTATGAGAGGAGCTCGGACAGAAGAGGGATGAGAAATAAAAAGGAAAATTGAAGCTCAGTAGTAGGAAGAAAACTTCTAGGAAGTGAGATGAGCTAGAAATCAGACTAATGCAAGAAGTCCCCATGACTAGACCACACAGAGGAAAGGTGACTACACAGATCAACAAGCTGGTTTTCAGGCAACTGACCAGTTTCACCTCTTTAATTTTAAACTGTCTCAGCAGCAGGACTAGAATTTGTGGAGGAGGAAGGGGAGATGTTGCATCTAACTCATCCTTGGGGGGAAGGAAAGGGAAGAGGAGATTGCAACCTCCTTTCACCCAATCCACAGGTACAGTTGCTTGCTTCCCCTAGCAGACGCTGCTGGAAATTTTAGAGTCAAATCCTTACCTGGGATCAAGTGGCACAGCTCCGCTTACAGCTAAGCATTCGGCCCTGAGCGTACATGGGGGTAGAAGCTCAGTCTCACCAGGTCAAGCCCAATTCATCAACAAGCCCAAGGCATGCGTTAGCGGCCTTTTCGTAGTCTCTTCCCTTCCTCTGCCTCACCACCTTTTTCTCTGTCTATGGCTTGTGAACTGTAAGAAACTTTGAACCATTAGGAATTTTTGCCATATTAATGTATTCCACTTGAGCTTCATACTCAGATTAATAATTCCAGACTGGCATTTTGCAGCCACGTAAAAAGAAATTCTCTGCTAATTGCCAAGTTGGCCCACACACAGAAAGCAGTGTACAAAATTAATGATAGCAACTCAACTGAAGCAACAGCTAATCAAAGCAGATTAACCCTAGCACCCACTTAATTCTGACCTGATGCATCTATACAGCACCTGCGTGCGACTGCATTTAACCAAGCACATCACCATGCTAATTTCAGTAAGAACAGCAGGAAATAACACATGCAGAGAAAATTGGAGGCTGATCTTAAAGCCTTGGTGGGGAGGCAGCATCCTAAAAATCGAGGGCTAGCCATGAACTGCCTGTGCATCCCTCATTCAAGTGAAGTGCCCTGTTCCACTCCGTGATACTTGCCCTCCAAACGCTGCAACGACAGTCTTATAAAGCTCACCTAAGACCACCAATAAAGCTTTTTTCCATTCAGTAGCCTGTATAGTTTTGGACTTGAACAAGCCAAGCATTAAATCTCACTGTCTTTCGGGAGGCAGGGAACTATTATAGACTTTTTGATAAGAAAATAGAGACCTGCCCATGTCAGAGAGCAAATTCATAACAGAGGAGTTTGAATTCAGATTTGGCTCCAAGGTCTAAAATCTGAAATAAAAGCCCATTCTATTTAAGTCTACTTTCAGTGAGAGATTTCAGCAAAGGAAGAAAATGCAAGTCAAACATTGCATCTTGCGGCCGGTTAGCGCTATGGAATAAGGGTGGGTGGAGGTCTTTTTGGAGAGAAGCCAAATGCTTTATGCAAGCTGGCTAGCAAAGGTTTTTTACAACATAATGCTGGGATGCTATTGCAGATACTAAATGCTAGAGTTGCTTTGCAGAGAACTGCTCAGCTAGCAGCCTGGAAGAGGGTGGACTGTGTTTTCTTTTTCTTAATCACGTTGTTGGATGCTGATGGCATTTGTTTTCTTTTATTACTATTTCTGCAAATCTAGAAACTTACGAAGCCCCTCACACTATATCCTCACTTGGTAATCTCATCTTCTGAGCTAGGTCCTATTTTGGGGGCAGAGAGGGTGAGGCAAAAGGTTCTTTCGGTTATTCCCTTTTCTTCTCCCCATCAACCATTGGAAGAATCATGTCTGCAAAGGATTTGACCATAAAGGACAACTCAAAAGTCTAGTATTTACCATGATGCATCTTTATGTTTCCCATCATATATCTCCCTGATTTTGTATCATAAATGACTCATGCAACCATGTGCAGCCACGGCAAGAGCAGCTGCCGGAGTATATGGTGACTTACGAGAACAGGACGAGATCCAAAACCATGAGATCCAATACTCTGACAGAGAGCTGTGGCAAAAGACACATGTGATAGTCAGTCTTTCTGCCCTCTTTCTACTGGGCAGATGGTAAATGATCATATTGTGTCCCAAACAAAAATGTTCCCTTTCCTTGAGTAAACAATCAAATTGAGATTGTTCTAGGTCTCATGAAGTAGAAAAGAGAAGGAGAAACTGCAGTTTTACTTTTATGGCTGCAAGACATCTGTGGGAACAAGAACTCTGAAATTCAGAGAGATTCCCAGCATGCCATTCATGGCCGCGACTGAATTCAGTACGGCCTGAGTAGAGCCATTAAACTCTGAGTAAAAGAAAGGCTTTTTCATTAAAACAAATGGTTAAATTTCTGCTCCTTGGAAAAAAGCTTCTTTCTCCACTCCCACCTTAAGTCATTTCCCTGCCCCCCTTGAACAAACAAGAATTCCATAGGTCTCATGAAGTAGAAAAGAGAAGGAGAAACTGCAGTTTTACTTTTATGGCTGCAAGACATCTGTGGGAACAAGAACTCTGAAATTCAGAGAGATTCCCAGCATGCCATTCATGGCCGCGACTGAATTCAGTACGGCCTGAGTAGAGCCATTAAACTCTGAGTAAAAGAAAGGCTTTTTCATTAAAACAAATGGTTAAATTTCTGCTCCTTGGAAAAAAGCTTCTTTCTCCACTCCCACCTTAAGTCATTTCCCTGCCCCCCTTGAACAAACAAGAATTCCAAATATTCAGTTAAAGATGCATTTTTTTTTCTTCCAAATCATCTACAACAAATACACTGTTTTGACCAACACCAGCGTGAACAGCAGCTGGTAACCTTATATCAGAATATGAGGCACACCAGCAAAGACAAAAGTTGTTCATTTTAGAGGGCTGGATTCTGGACTAAAGAGACATATATGAAAGGGATTTCATTTACAGTAGGATCTGTTCTTTCTTTGATACAATGCTGACATTTAAAAAATAAAATTACATAGATATTTTACATGCGGTGGTTAATTGAGAACTGCTGTCACTGATGCAGATGACACCAGGCGACACATTTAGGCACCAATTTTGCAAACATTCTCTCATATCAGTGATCAACTACCAACATATTTAAGTGAATAAATATTGGCAGGGTTAAAGGTTTTTACAATACTGAGTTAAGGCTGTTCTTTACAGACCTTGGAGGGACATTTGTACTCACTAAACAGTTCTGGTCAGTCTGTCTCTTGCAGCAAAAATTAATAAGCTGCAGTTTCAAGGAATATAGACTTTCCTCCCTCATCTGCCTTTTTTTTTTATTTAAGAAAAAGTTGATGATTTTTCTTCATAGAATCAAAAGATCCTGCGTTACAGCAGCACTCCAGGCTGGTATCCTTCGTTTGTAAATGAAACAGAAGTGTAACTAGATATGAAAACATCAGGCTTGAATGATGGAATGTAAGAGGTGTTACAATTCTTCACTATCAGTGGATAACGGTTTTGATTAAATGTTCTTTCTGGTTATAACCCGCATTCAGTTATCCACTTACTGTTATTTCCCAGGGGATAAGCTTAACCACAACGAAGCATCATTAGCAATAGCCACCTCAAAGCAGTATAACTCTTCTGCTGTGGATACCTCCCCCAAATGCCATTTGCAGCATGGTGCTGGTGCACAGACCTAGTCTACAGTTTGTGTCGGGAAGTTCTCAGTTTGCAAAGCTGTGGGGTGGTTGTTTTCAAGTGAGGTGTAACTTGCTATGGTGCAAACAGCAGATCAGCAACTATATTCTAACAAGAACTGGGAGAGTTTCTCAGCAGACTGGTGCAGTGAACCAAATTCAGGATTATTCAAGAGGAGAAAGCATAGATTTAAGAAGGAATGATACCATATTTTCCTTCCTCCTAGTGCTGTTCAAGCATAGGGCAGCCTCCCTTTGTAGGTGAGCTGTTACAGAGGAGATGGCCAGAGCGGCACAGAGCCTGTCTACATAGCCCTACCTAACCCTTTTTATTAACTGCAGAGGGTTGAAAGAGGCAGCCCTTGGTCGTTTTGAAGACTGACAATATACTGTGAATTCAAGAAGCCTGGAAACCACCATGCTAGATGATCTACAGGCTTTCATGCTCCCGCAAGAAGAAATATTGTGCAGAACTGGAACCACCACCTCTGGAAGCAGAAGCTGTACTGGAGGCCAGCTGCAAACCAAACCCAGCAGCTCATGGGACCATCTGCACTAAAATTCCCGAGAGCCTACCATGGACCAGGAGGACCACAGCAGCACAACATGGTGTAAGAGGCACCGAGGTCTATTTGTGCTTGTGTGCAGTTAGAAGGGAAAGAGTAACATGAGAAGAGCTTGCTCACCATCAAGAATTGCCCATTGCCCATCTATTTCAGTGTGTTTCAGGTAGGAATCTTCAATAGTCGGGTCATAGTCTGGCACAAAAATCTTCTGGAAAAATTGAATGGTGAGAGCGCTCTTCCCCACACCACCGTCTCCGACCACCACCAGCTTGTACGTGGGGAGGTTCTCGCTGGGAACAGCACTTGTAGCCATGCTTCCAGTATGTTAAACCTGCTGGAGAAAGAGATTGTCTCAGATCATTCAGATTGTCTCAGATCATTCAGTGGCAATGAAAAGATGGCAATTCACACAAGGCGATCTTTTCACCTGGGGCTAGAACGAAGCGAGTATGCCAAGGCAAGACACCAGGGTTTATCCTGTCTGGTCTTGCACTCTGACATTCACAGTCCTTTTGGACAGGAGGGGCAGCATCTACGCTCCCAACCACTGCTACCATAACCCAGAGAGATTACTTCTAAGAAGTGCAGATGGCCTCGCTGCTGTGGCTTGTTTACTCCTGACCCTGTCTACAGGGATTACTAATTGCCACCACATGTGCGTGTGGAAGCTTTATCATCTGAATACCTTTCCTATAGGGACTGGGCCGACACAGCCACGCCAAAAATCACGCCGGGTCAATGCAGCTGTCAAGTTCCAAATAATTTCCAGTTGCCAGCGGCTGAATCCCATTGAGAAGCTCGAACGGTGCTACTCTTCACTGCTTAACACAGTGTACAGCAAACATTAAATAGAGCGTTACACTCTGGGGCCGGGCTGCTGGGTGCCACATCTGCACACAGAACAGGCTGTGATAAATGAAACTGGAGCTAAAGGCCTGGTCCAGACTCTTGCTGACAGACAAAAATGCACTTAGCTTCTCTCTTGTTTTAAAGTTTGAGAAACAAAAACAAGAAACATGCACAGCCGGCAGCAGGCCAGGAACTACAGGTGTTTTTTGTTTCCCCCTCCTCTTTTTTCTCTTTCTCTGTCTTTTTTTTTTTTTTTTTTAAAAAAAAAAACACTACACTGGCAGGAAGGCTGGCTTTGTGGCTATGATACAGCCATGCAAGTCAGGAGATCAGCTTCCCCTGCAGCGTGGTCACAGATTCCCTGTCATTTCGGGTAAACCACAGAGGAACTGCTTCTTTAAAGAAAGAAGAAAAATACACCGGGTGCAACTGGACACTGACACTTGGGTGCGTGCACACCCCAGGTCTGCGCGCTGAGAAAGCAGAAGAGGCAGCCGCTTGCTGAACTGGCTGTTTCAGCATTCAATAACAGCGACTGCTTATTCAAAATAAAGTCTGGTGAGCAGATTTGTATGCAGGCTGGGAAACACAGCTCTTCTGCCCTCCTGCCACGCACAGGCGCCAACGATGCTTACTCAAATCACATAGGAAATGGGTGGCCATCTCCAAAATTTTGGTGCCCGTGCCATTTTCCATTCCATTCACAAACATCCACCCCAGTTCGGAAGATTCTGAAAAGGCTCGGAAAAGGCCAATTCATTTCCTTTGTATCAGCTTTCTTTAGGCACACCTTGCAGTGCGGGCAGCAGCTCGGGACGATACTCCTGCAAGCAGAAGCCTGTCCGCCAGCACCTGCCACGATCCATTCTGGTTTCGCTGGAGACCTCCCGGTTACCCTTCGCTTCGCATTGCAAATTCTTGCTTGGGTCAAAGCTGACAGGTGGCGGCGAGAACTGGGCTATTCTGGACTATTTGCTCCCGGGAGATGAGCTGACTCAGGGCGCGAATGACCACAGGACACTGAGCCAGCTGCCTGCGTGGCTGGACAGACCGCGTGGTGCAGTCTCCCAGGCATGCTGCGAAAGCGAGCAGCCGCTCCCCATGAGCTGCCCTGGCCCATGATGCCCTCTCTCCTTTTCGAAGGAGGGAACAACTAATATCACACATTAAATTGGGGTAGCGAGGAAATCAGAATCCACTGTGCTGGAGGGAGCGCTTCCCACCTCCACAAAGCTGTCAGCGTCCTGACCTCTATCGCCACTACCCCCCACAAGTCTTTCGAGGTCTTCCTGGTAACTGCAGGGGTTTTTCTTCATTAAAAACTCGTAAGTTTTTCAGTTTCAGAGATCACCAAGAAAGGCCCGTGCACTCAGTGGTGCACGCTGGCTCAGGAGCCATGGTGGCAGGACTGGTGCACGCAGACCACGGACTAATCCCCTTTCAGCCTACAGTATAGCAAAACCATTTTTCCAGAAATTGTTCCATTTTGATACTTGATAAAGAAAGCATTTAACTCTGTTTCCAAAAAGGCACAAAAACCAGCGTGAACCACCTTTTGAAAAGAACATAACCCCGCTGATGGTTTGATTCCACATAGAAGAAGAAATCTGATCTCAAAAGTTTAGCTTCTGGTCTCTCTAGTCCCTTCCTTCCAAATCACTATTTCAGACTAATCCAAATTATTGAACTATAAAGATACTTTTCACCTGGGGGTCCTAGTTTCCCTGTTCTACAGGAAACCCCCATCCCTTGAGAAACGGCTTTTCATGGTCATTTCTCAGCTCTACTAACCAGCTTTTCCCTCGCAACACATACATTCCCATCCATGCGGGCAAACACAAGAAAGGAGACAAAATAAAAGTAGCTGCCAACATTCAGATTTGAGCTTACCTTTTACTTAGGGGGAAAAAGATCACCTCAGGCCAAAACAGCCCAAGGAATTCTAGCCACAAGCCCAAAAGACGCCCGCCCGAAATATCCAGTGTCAGTAGTGACCTGAAGCTATATAATTACCTGAAGCTACTATAATCACACTATTGACAAGCAGCACACAACTCGTGGAGTTACATTCCCAGCTATAGTCACAGTTCGATGCCGAAACACAAAAACCCCTCAACTTCTTAAATGAGGGAATCTCTTCTCCTCCCTTCTCCCCAGCACCATGTTATGTATGATAACAAGATACAGCTTGTGCCCAAGGGACTTTTGCAAATATAGGAATAACTTGCAGAATGCCTAATCCATACGTTGTGCAGGTTGAATGCCTTGACCTCCAGTTAAGATCATGTACTGGTCACTTCTCCTTGAACTGAATTTAAAGGAACTCTTTGTTTTTCCTGTAAACAGAAAACCCTGTAAGAGTGAGAAAGAAGGTTATCACAGAGGTGAGATCACTGAGGCTGTTAAGAACTGCAAAGTCTCTTGTCCAAGTTGAGACAGGTCAAAATTTTCAGAGCAAGAAGAAACGTCATCAAGTCACCTTCTTTCTAAACTGTCTTTGAAGAAATTGTTGAGAACAGCATTTCCATGGCAAGCAACAGCAGCTGGACCAGGAGAAGGAGGCAAGGCATGAGCTGACCTCCCCACCCAGGTTATTCAGTGCCTCACCTTAATCCCAAGGAAGAGTTTCTTATTCCAGTTCTAGGGTGCGTATGTGATTTCCTCATGTTTACACACGTAACTGCGGAAGAGGGAGCACATGAACCCTCAAAGTCTCACAGGATCACACTGTCAACAAGCAGCGTGCTTGGCTGCAAGTTTGCAGGAAGCTACAAATTTCAACCAGACTGCTCATTTTTGCTCGGAAGACCAAATTTTCTTTCAGTGCAATCCTGCTCTTTGTAAGCTCCTTAGGACAGAGACCCTGGACAAAACTCCAGCCCCTGCACATTTGATGGCAATTTTTTGCTTTGCCTGTGGCCAAGATTTCACCCGTTACTTATTTATACCGCGGAGTGCCTGGGAGTCAGTCACCCTGCGTGTCTCTGGACAGGCCCTATGAAAGAGCAATTGTTACTCATATGGTGGGGAAAGGCTGCAGATGTGAAACAACATAGCCAGTCTGGGCAGAATTTTTGACCTCATCGCAAAACCACAAGCTACTGCTCAGTAGACAAGTGTTATATTTTCATAGACATTTACCACCAACCCCTTTAGCTTGCTCCTAAGAAGCCTCAAGGTTATCTTGCATTACACACTTCCCAAAGTACTATGCTAATATTTAGCCCATTGTTGTACAAACTGTAATTCTGCCCAAAATGCACATGGGTAGAACCAGGGCATTTGGTTCCAGGTGTCTGCAAAAGTTTGGTTAAACCGTATGTCCAAGCTACCAGATTAAGATTTACACAGCTTGTGCAAAAGCAGCCAGAACTGAATTCGGGGGCGGCGGGTGGGTAGGGAACATAAGGAAAAAAAAAACATTAGGTCCTGTAAGCTGGTTTGTTGAACACAAAAACATATTTTAGGTGATGTCACCATGAGCAGGTAGATGAAAACTTCTGTCAGAGCGTCAGGAGGCAGCAGAGTTTAAATGCTTCTACGTGGCCCTTTCTACTGCATCAGCAACGATTTGAACCGGGCTGCTTTGGCCCCTTTCCTCCGTGCTCAGTGCGCCGTCACACGGTGCCTTCCTCTGAGGGCAGCCTTTCTCTCGAGGCCACAACGGCCTTGCCCAGCAGCACTCCTCAGAGGCTGCTGCAGAGCAGAAGCCTGTTACTCGGGTCACTTAAAACAGAAGAGCTTTTTGGAGGTTGGGACTGCATAAAAACTCACTGCTCTGACAGCCGCCAAACTGCTCCGATTCCTAAAGTGCTTGTTAAGGAGCTTTAAGGTGCACTCTGAACCCAAAAGATACACTCATATCCAAAGCCAGTGAAACATCTCCAGGTATCAGTAACGCTCCTGAAAACACACTTCCTTCTACTGAGATAGCAGGTCCCATGCTCCCAACGTGTAAGTACAGAATACAAAAACCTCCAAAATCCAAGTACTTCAACCCCTCGACACCTCCACCTGCCCTATCTGGTAATTAAAGCAAGAAAACGGCTCATGCTTTGACGAGATTATAATCCACGCCAACGAAAAACTCAAACCTTAAAAACAACATATGTCACCTGCTGGAAAACATTAAATGCTCCCAAAGGTACGCAGGACTTTGCACTAACTGGCTATGTCACTACAGGCAAGCGCACAAGACCCGGGCTGATTTTCATGCATTTTTGGCAAGAGTACTGGCACAGTCCTCAGAAAGGGAAAGAAGGGAGCAGGGATAAGCGTGTTTGCTGTAAATCTGATTGCGAAAAAGGAAGCACAGATCTTTTTATCTATTGTCTGAATACAAAGCAGCATGTGGTATTAAGCTAATGAGCTCTGGTGATAATCATCTTACAATTTATATAGCTGTTTATTCTGAAGGAGCCAAAAGAACGAGCCATACCCTGGGCTGATGCACACTGTCAGGGCTGTTTAAGTCATGGGAAG